AAGCATAACAGTAAAGCTACCGGAAGCCGTAAAGCCCCTTGAAACCTATAAAAGCAATGACAAAAACGAAATTAATCTAAGAGAAAGTTGTTAATGCCAAGGTAATAATTATTTTCATATTTTTTTATAGTGAAAAGACATATTAACATAGTGTTTCATTAGTGAGTTAAATATACGGAGCTCTCTGTGCATAAACTAAAGGAAATTCGAGAGAATGCAAAGGTTCAGACGACTTATAAGGTGATACAAATGTGAATCCAAGCACTAGAGAAGTTTCGTTCTAATGTTGGATATGAAGAAAAAATCGAAGAAGTGAATTCAAAAATGGTCTTGGAGGATCAATTATCGAAGTTTGTGTGTGCGATGACAAGACAGGATGGTGGAGAGTATCACGCAATGTCTGTAAGAAGCTGTATGGCAGCAATCTGGAGATATCTCAATGAGTATTCGGTAATGGAAAAGCTCATGGATATACTTAATCCAAAGGTGTACTTCGATTTGAATCAAGTAATTAACAGAAAATTGAAGACCCTTTCCGCAAAAAGCTTTGGTGAATGTGTCAGAGCCGATGGGTTGACATTAAGTGAGGTTGAGCAAATCTTGGACCACCCCACAATGCAGCATAATATGCCAGAGGGCCTGTTACAACAGATTTTTTTTTATAATGCAAAGCTGTTAGCGTTACGTGGTGGTGAACATTATACCCTGCAAATTAATAATTTTTTTAAAAGGGTCGATGGTGGAATTGATATCAAATTGTATAGATCCAAAACCAATCAATGAGGGCTTGATAATCACGATGCACAGGCTGAGGTTATCAGCTTACCTAAGATTAAAAGCATCGTTGATGACTATGAATTTTACTTTACAAAGCACTCGGTAATGACTGTAACAAATTTTTATCTAAAGCCAATGTTGTTGAATTTAGATAAAGTTTTTTGTGTGTGATTCACGTTTATAAATGTCGATTTACTATTTTTTTTTTTGGATTTTTTAGTAGAATTCTGTTAACAATGGTATTACGCATGTGCTCTGGGTGAGCGAAAGTTGAAAGAGTATTTCAGGGTCATATGCGAAACCACAGGTATTCAAATTGGATCTCGTAATATATCGAATCGCTCGGAAAGAAAAACTGCTATGCAGTTGTTAAAGGAGCTTGGATACTCCGATTCTGTTGTGATGTCGATTACTAGACACAAGTCCCAAAAAGGTTTTGTTGCATATGAACGACCAAAATCAGTAATGCAATACGAAGGCCTTAATGGATTTTTCAATACGCTAAAACAAGTTCCAAAAGGTAAAATTCAAAAATTATGCTTTATTATGGCTTTGAACATTTAGCTAATTTTTTTTTTTTTATGAGCTTCTGACGACTATAATGACAATACCACCCCCAGTGACTATAATGACAATGCCACCCCGGTAATTATGATGAACACGGTGCCTCCGATGATAATGAAGCCCCCAAAGGTTAACGAAAAGTAGAACCAGTATCTGGTGATTTCGTTTTTGCAAGTTCGTACCTTCGACGTAATGACTCCCAGGCTTCGTTGGTAAATGCATTCAATGATCTTGAAGTATTTTCTGATGGATCAAGCAATATTTTGGCCGAGTGTAATCAGAACGTTCATGATACAGATGATGAAAAAGAGAAGGACAAGGGCACAAAAAAGAATAATCAAAAAGAGAAGGTTAAAGGTGGTAAAAAGGATTTAAAAAATCCCGAATTTCTTGAAAAATTTCTTTCAGAAAATACTTTTCATAATTGCATTTTTAATTTTTAAAATTAAATGTATTTAGTTGATATTTTATAATAAAATTTGTTTGTTTGCTTTTGTAAATTGTGCTGTTTTTTAAATAATAAAAATTTCAAGTAATTTTGGCTCGAATATTGATTTTGAGTCAAATAACATTGACCCAAAAATTGTGTAAAATTCAAATATTTGGCATTACGTCATAATATATTAAAAAATAATGTGCAAAAACTGTGCCATGATCATATGAGTTTGTCAGATAATGAAGTTTATTGGCATCAAATAAGTTTTTTATAAAATTTTTTACAGTAAATTATATATATATAATTAATTCTAATTTTAAATGTTTTGTTTGTAGAATTTTCCTGAATTTAAAAAATGATATCTTCGAGATTATCCAAAATATAAAGAGCTTTTTGAATATAGACAAGAAATCAAGCAAGAATTACAATTAATTAATAATAATTTTATTAATGAAGAAAATGAATCTGATAGACTTTCAGATTATGAAAGATCATTAGCAAAATCATCTAAACAAAGAAAATATTAAATTAAAATTAGTTTTAAATTTAAATTTTAAAATTATAGCTTAGTAATTTTTAAATTATAAAAAGACTTGTATTTTCTTTTTAATTAATAAAAATGAATTGGTCTGAAAAATTTAAAGACTTTGAAGTTTTATCTAGTTGGACTAAACTTCTGATCATTAAACTACAAAGAAAATCAAACTCTTATCGAGTTGTTGAAATTGATACAACTTTATTTCTTGAAGTTATAATACAAAAACCAGAAATTAAATTTCTTACTGATCTTGACAATATTAATTTATTAAAATTTTATTATAAGCTTCTTGTGTAGTAGGAACTACTCGCTTACATTCAATATTATTTGCTTTACAATAATCACATA